ATCGCGCGTGGGGCTGGGAGAGAAGCGCAGTGCAGCATGGGCGCGCAGGCTGCAGCGAACCTGAGCAGGCCTCAGAGGACTGAATCGGGGGCAGCTGTGGCAGTTTCCAGACTCCTCAATCCACTAATGCCAAAGACAACTTAGAAGGTCAGTGGGAAAAGTCAGTTTCTGTGGTGCTGAGAGAGGAACACAGGGTCTCAGATCCAGTTCCCCAAGAGTATGGCCTGGGACAGGGGGGTGCAGCTGCCTCCTGATCTTCCAGCCCACAGATTGAGGAAGAATTGGGTGGCTGATCAGAAAGGATTGCAGAGACCTCTTTGCCAGTGCTAAGGCAGGAATCTCTTGCTTTGCCCGTGCTTGGATCTGGGTCACAGTTCTGGGAGGCAGTCCTGGGGTGAGGAGGAGCGCTGGTGTGGTGGAGCTTGCAGTGGCTGTGAAAGAAAACCCTCCTCACAGTTGCAGGACAGAAAAGAGTACTTGTGGTCACTCACAGACCAGAGCACAGGCCAGGAAAGGAGTAAACACCCTGCCCCTTATCATACCACCTTGGAAGAACTGAAAATTTACAGGTCCCTACAAGTATCTCTGAAAATAGTGGTACAAACCCCCGAAGCTTGGGACAGTACATTCTCCACATTGGAAGCAGACTCTTACCTTAATAAAGAGTTTAAAACTCAAGTAATGGGCCAGGATCATAAGCAAGCAGTGCAAAAAGAGTCAGACTATATTATCTTACTTTGGTGACAAAGAAGATCAAAAATACAACCAGAAGAAGACAACAAAGTCAAAGTTCCTACATCCAAAGCCTCCAAGAAAAATATGAATCAGTCCCAGGCCTTGGAAGAGATCAAAAGGGATTTTGAGAAGCAAGTACGAGAAGTAGAGGAAAAACTGGGAAGAAAAATGAGAGTGATGCAAAAAAATCATGAAAAACAAGTCAACAGCTTGCTAAAGGAGACCCAAAAAAATACTGAAGAAAATAACAACACCTTAAAAAATAGCCTAACCCAAATGGCAAAAGAGGTCCAAAAAGCCAATGAGAAGAAGAATGTCCTAAAAAGCAAAATTGGCCAAATGGAAAAGGAAGTCCAAAAGATTACTAAAGAAAACACTTCCTTAAAAATTAGAGTAGAGCAATTGGAAGCTAGTGACTTTATGAGAAATCAAGACACTGTAAAACAAATTCAAAAGAATGAAAACTTAGAAAACAATGTGAAATATCTCATTGGAAAAACAACTGACCTGGAAAATAGATCCAGGAAAGAGAATTTTAAAATTATTGGACTATCTGAAAGCCATGATCAAAAAAAGAGCCTAGACATCATCTTTCAAGAAATTATCAAGGAAAACTGCCCTGATATTAGAACCAGAGGGCAAAATAGAAATTGAAAGAATCCACAGATCTCCTCCTGAAAGAGATCCCCAAAGGAAAACTCCTAGGAATATTATAGCCAAATTCCAGAGTTCCCAGGTCAAGGAGAAAATATTACAAGCTGCCAAAGAAACAATTCAAGTACTGTGGAAACACAATCAGGATAACACAAGATTTAGCAGCTTCTACATTAAAGGACCACAGGGCATGGAATATAATATTCGGAGGGCAAAGGAGATAGGATTACAACCAAGAATCACCTACCCAGCAAAACTGAGCATAATCTTTCAGGGGAAAAAATGGTCATTCAGTGAAATAGAGGACTTTCAAGCATTCTTGATGAAAAGACCAGAGCTGAATAGAAAATTTGACTTTCAAATACAGACTCAGTGGAACATGAAGAGGTAAACAGGAAAGAGAAATCATAAGAGACTTATTAAGTTGAACTGTTTACATTCCTGCATGGAAAGATGATATTTATAACTCATGAGACCTTTGTCAGTATTAGGGTAGTTGGAGGAAAAAAATTATATGATGTAGATAGATAGATAGATAGATAGATAGATAGAGGGCACAGGGTGAGTTGAAGATTAAGGGGTCATATCTGGAGAATAAAATTAAGGGATGAGAGAGGATTATACTGAGAGAAGAAGAAAGGGAGAGGTAGAATGGGGTAAATTATCTCACAAAAAAAACAGAAAAGTCTCTACAGTAGGGAGAAAATGGGGAAGGTGAGAGGGAATGAGTGAATCTTATTCTCATAGGATTTGGCTTAAGGAGGGAATAACATACACATTCAATTGGGTATGGAAATCTGTCTTACCCTACAGGAAAATAGGGGGAGAAGGGGACAAGAGAGCAGGGGGATGATAGAGAGGAGGGCAGATTGGGAAAGGGGGTAATCAGAAGCAAATACTTCTGAGGAGGGACAGGGTCAAAAGAAAGAATAGAATAAATGGGAGGGCAGGATAGGATTAAGGGAAATAGAGTTAGTTTTTCACAACATGTCTACTATGGAAGTGTTTTGCATAACTGCACATGTATAACCTATATTGAGTTGCTTGCCTTTTCAATGAGGGGGGGGAGGGAGGAAGGAGAAAATTTGAACCTAAAGTTTTAAAAACATATGTTTAAAAAAAATGTTTTCACATGCTACTGGGAAATAAGAAATACAGGAAATGGGGTACAGAAGTCTATCCTGCCCTACAGGAAAATAGAAGGGGAAGGGGATAAGAGAAGGGGGGAGAGATAGAAGAGAGGACAGACTAGGGGAAGGGATATTCAGAATGCATGCCATCTTGGGGTGGGGGAGGGTGATACGGGGTGAAAATTTGGAGCTCAAAATCTTGTGAAAGTAAATATTGAAAACTAAAAATAAATAAATTAATATTTAAAAAAAAAAAAAGAATGTGAGAGTGGACAAGGGAAGAGCCTGTTGGGGAGAGAGAGGGAAGGTTAAGGTTCTCTAGCTCAGTGCTGCCCTCTTACTTGGGAAAGGATCTAAGGCTGATAGTCTTCATCTCATTTGTGTCCTGGACCCTGTGGACAATCTGGGAAGCCGATAAGAATTGTTTTCTAAGTGCACAAAATAAAACACATCAATTACAAAGGAAGCCAATTATATTGGCCTATGGTTATCAACGTATGAAAAAATAAGCCAGGTAAGAGACAGAAAGACCAGACGCCCTCAGCTACAAGGAGGGCTCAGCAGGCCCACCAGCTCCCCGGAATCCACCAAAACCCAACTGAGCGCCAACTCTTCAGTGAATTCTTCTCTCAGTCTGCGGCACACCCTTTGCTTCTTTCTATTTGCTGTGATTTTCCCTCCCATACAGCCACCATCAGTCCCTAAATGGTTCATTACTTTTTTGTTCCACAGGAACTGCAGGGACATCTTCTGCCCCACCTCCTTCAGCTCTGAGGTGGTACCCCAGCACTTTCAACATACATAGGTATGTAGGAAGGTGGATGACCTGTTTGGCTCCTGGGCCTCAGCCAGTCTAGATGCTGCTCCAAGAAGGGGAGGACTGAGGCTTGACTAACTTACAATTCTTCCCCAGCACCCAGCTCAGAGTGCTGGCTCCTCAGCCCAGTGGGAGCCGAATAATGTTCTTGATTTTGACCATTTTGAAACCTTGGCAACAAACAGTTCCCCACTTTACACAGTCGGGCTCAGAGTTTCCTGTGTGCATACTTCATCTCATATTCCATTCAACCTTTGAGAAACATTTATTAAGCATCTGTGATTGAGGAAACCACAGTCAAAATGAAGTCATCCCTGCCACAGATGCCAGGCCTGCTATAGAAGCAGAACTTGGCTTGGCAATTAGTTGAGTGGGGAGTGAGAATAAAGGAGAAAAAAGGATCCAGACTTAGGAGTGTGGGGGTGAATGGAAGGGGGTAGGGTCCCACCAGTCAGGGGGATTTGTTGGGGGGTTCTGGGGGAGGGGATGTCCTCCATTTTGCAATGACAATGGGCCATGCAGGGGTCAGATGCCCAGGGGGCAACAAGGGCCAATGGAGATTCAGAGCTGAGGAGAGGAACAAGAAAGGAAGCTGTGGATCTGCATGTTCATGGAGCCTGAGTGAGAGAGTGAGAGAGGAGGGCCTAGGCCAAGGCTTTGGGGCACACCTATGATGAGGGGCCATGGCTCAAGATCCCCTCCCCCTAAAGGCAGCTGACAAGGAGCCATGGGCACAGGGAGGGGCAAAGTGGGGAAACTTCCACATAAGAGGTAGCAGAGGGTGAAGCTGTCAAAGGACCAGCTGCCCGACATGCAGGGACCTGGAATGTGGGAGGATTCACTGTGGGAAGGACATGAAAGACGACTTCACTGCTGCTTTGTCACTGCCCCTCTAAGGACCCTGGGACCTTTCCCTCTGACCTGTGTTTTGTCCCACACAATGGGACAGAATGGGAATCTCTGGAAAGCAGGGTCTGTCCGACTTTTCTATGTATATCCCCAGTTCTTAGCATAGTGCTTAGTACAGCGAGCTCTTAATAAATTCATCCATTCATTCACCTACCCATCCATCCATCCATCCATCCATCCATTCACCGTTTCATCCACTATCTATCCGTCCACCCATCCACTTAGCATCGTTTCCTTTAAGAAGGTATTCGGGGAGTGCATTTACCTCCAAAGCCCACCACTGCCCCGTCAGTGATCTGATCTGTTGGTCTGGGGAGGGGGAGCCGGGGAGATGGAAACAGACAACAGGATTTACCCCTCCCATCCTCCTCCACCGTGTCATCCCCCACGAGGCCATCCTGGTAGGGGCACCACTGAGGCCCCGAAGTCAGGCCTCGGGTCCTGGTACTTCAGGGGAGTCCCAAGTCGGGCCTCCAGGTCCCGTGGCTACTGGGGTAGGGGCGCTGCAGCGTCCCAGGCCAGACCCCCGACACCCCCGCCACTGCAGAGGGTTAGTCCGTCCACCGCCCCTCGCCTGCCAGCGCTCGGCCAAAGCCAAGGCCGCCCCTCCCCCCAAGGACAGAGCGGGCGGAGGGGAGGGGGTGGTCACTGCGGCAGGAGCTGGGAGGGGGCGGGGCCACCGCGGACAGCCCAGCAGGGAAGGGGGGGCAGAGCCCCCGCCCCGCCCCCCCGCGCGCTCCCGTGAGCGCGAGCGCGAGCGCGTTGCCATGGTGGCGCAGCGTCCGTAGCCAGAGCTCGGCTGGTGAGCCGGGCCAGAGGCAGCGGAGGGCTGGCAGACAGACTGTCGGACGGCCTGGGGTCGGCACGGCGCGGAGCCGAGCTCGGAGGCCAGTGTCACCCACCCCGCCGCCACCCCTGGCACAGTCTCCGTCCCTGTCACCAGGAGCACCTTCCTTGGGCAGCCGTGGGGCCGCGGGGAGGGAGGCCTCCAAGCCCCCCGACCCTGCTGTAGGGCTACCCCTACCGCGAGCCCTTGGCCCCAGGGGCAGCACGCGGAGCCCGCCCCCGCTCCGTCCGTCCTAGCACCGCCATGGATGCCGAGCTGGCCGAGCCGCTGCAGCAGCAGCTGTACGGGGGACAGGGGGAGGAAGAGGAGGAGGAGGAGGAAGAGCTGGACTTCTATGACTTCGAGCCGCTGCCAGCCCTGCTGGAGGACGAGGTGAGGCTCCAACGGGGGGGAGGGGTGTCAGCTGCAGGGGAAGCCCCAGAACAGGATTTCCAACTTTGTCCTTCCTGGGCTGGGGGCTCCTGGCGGGGCGGGGCTGAGGTGGACCCTCTGATCTCCCTGGGAGGGGTCCCAGCCCCGCCCCGACCTCCTTGAGCTGGAGATAGTCTGAAAATGGGGAGTTGAAGGGTCTGGGAAAGAGAAGAAAGGAAAGAACGGTTAGGTGTCCCCTCTGCACCCTGCACGCTCCAATCAAACATCTATTGAGCACCTACTGCGTGTCAGGCGTCAGGATTTAAGGATAACCTTAATTCGGAACATCATCCCCCTCCTGCCCTTCCCTTCTTCACCCCTCCCCATCCTTCCTTGCAGCCTCGAGCTCTAGGCCATAGTGGAGAATGGCATGTCTCAGGGTTCTGGCAAATTCCGTGGATCAGGTTAGGCCCCCCACACCCACCCCATGAGGGCCAGGAGGACCGTAGGAGCCCCGATATATCCTGTTGCCTGCCCCCCCCATCCGAGGCTGCTGAGGCTGGGCCAGAACCAGGACCTCCAAGCTGCTACCCCCTCCCCCAGGCTCAGCCAGAGGCTGAGGGGGATTGTAAAGAGCAGAGGGGACCCTTCAGCACCCCCCATCACAGCCTCCAGGACTTCAACCCAAGCCCCTGCCAATGAAGCCTTTGGGGAGTTTTGGGATTTCTGGGCTCCAGCAGGCAGGGGCTTCTTTCAACAGAGCAGGAATAAGCATTTCTCCAGCCTCTTTCAGCCCTTACATGTATCATCTCAGTTAATGACCAATGACCACCCCCCCAGGTCAGCAGATCCTGGTTATGAGGTGGGTGGGGATCCCTGGCCCAGAGACGTGGCCATGCACAGTGGAGCCTAGCCTTGCTGAGCCAAGGAGATCCCATCAGATCAGCCTCAGCCTGAGAAGCAGGACTGGATCGTTGGTGCCCCCCAAGCTCCCCAGTTCCATCCCCCCACCTCCTAAGACTTGTCTGCTTCTGGAGGACTCAGGAGTTCTAGCTTCCTTGTTCTGTCCATATGGGTCTGAGGCTGCTTCCTCTTCTGTGAACTGAGGTGAGATGGACCCGGTGGTCCCTGAAGCACCTTCCAGATTAACCCCCCAGGAGGGTCACATGCCCATGCCCCCACCTCTGTGCAGAGAGCCATGCCTCATGAGGGACTCCCGGAGCCCTTAAAGAGAATTCTGGTCCTCATTACTTGGCATGGTTGGGAATTGGGGCACAGTCTGTCTGTGAAGGCCTGTTGACTTTGGAGGAGGGCTGGCACGCTGCACTGAGCTTACATAAGGCCTGGCTGCTCTGGCCAGGGTACCAGAAAGGCTCCTTGGCTCAGCCTTAGGCTGATTCCATTTGTGAAGTCTCTACCCAGGGCTCTTCATGTCCCCAGTTCCATGGGCCCCTTTTAGTGCCCAGTTAGCCCTTCTCACACAGACAGCCATCCTACCAAGGATTTTGTTAATGTTTGCTTTGGGATCTCCTAAGAGAAAAGTCCCAAGAATGAGAGAAAGAAAATGCAGGCTGAAAAAAAAAAGCATCATTACCCACTGGATTGAGTGCCTGGAGTTCACTGGGCTGATTTGGCTGCTCGGACCACTCAGGGGTCTCAAAGCCAGGCCCAGGACTGGCAGTATCTCTGGCCTGATCCAACTTGTGGCCTAAATTTGGCCAGATGTGATGCCGCTTGGAGGGTGGGGGTTGGCGAAGAAACCTTCATTAAGCACCTGGAAGGTTTGGCCTGGAAAGAAATCTAGAAGCCCAGAGTCGGTCCTTCTAGACATGGGAGTGCAGAGGGAAGGCTTTGGTGAGGACTGGTCAATACCAGGAGTATTCATAAAGGACAGGTGCCCCACACAGAAGGATGAATGAGCCTTACTGACCTGCTCTGGGATCCCAGAAACTGAAGATGAACATGTTCACTTACCGAGTTTGGACAAAATGTTGTTAAAGATGAAAAAGTGAGTCTGTGGGAAAAGAGAGCTCAGAAGTCCCATTTGGAATGCAGCCAAGAGGACTTAGTCTGTGGGGCTCCTGATGGACCCTCAGCCCCAAGCTGATCACTTGCTTCAGGCTTCAAAGAAATATTCTCTTTTCAGTAAGATGGGGAGCTCCTAGCAGGCTGGAAGCCTTCCTCCCTTCCTGGCTCAGTCTACAGCAGACCTCTAGGAGGGCTTGTTGGGTGGAGGTCCAGCACCTCTGAGGTCCAGGATGAAGATCTTCTTGGTAGGTCCCCCTTTAATAGGCTACTCCAAAAGCTGGAACGTCACTCACCCCCACCCAACCCCTACCAAGCACTGTTCATGTAGAAAAGAAAAGGAGAAGCTCCAGATGGGTCACCGGACTCTGCTTAATGTGAGCTGAGAGCTGGTCCCCATCTCGTCAGGGTTGGCTCCCACAACTCCAAGAGCCATCTGCCTGTCCAGGGGTTTTGTTCTTCTGCCTTGGTGGAGACTCCTTATCTGGGGCCTGGGTTGGCTGTCACCTGACCTTCTGCTTTGACCTGTGAGATGAGATGGGGGGGTCCTCAGTCCCCAGCCTTTATTCCTTACCTCACCTAGAGACCCTGCTCTGGCCCTAGCCTGTTTAAGATTTAATTCAGTGTCACCATTAGCAAAGCATGGTGAAAGAGAGAGAGAGAGAGAGAGAGAGAGAGAGAGAGAGAGAGAGAGAGAGAGAGAGAGAGAGAGAGAGAGAGAGAGAGAGAGAGAGGCAGCAAGCACCTTAGGTCTGCCCCTGATACTCTGCTATGATGTAGCTTCCAGCAGCCAGGGAGTCTGAGGATGTGATACCCAACTGTGTTCGGGGCACTTGGATCAGAGCAGGCAAAGAGAATTTCTACCTTTGTAACATGGCCCCAATGCACCCCCTTCTCTCCTCTGACACTGCTCTGCCCCTGATGCAGACCCTCATCATCTCATGACTGGACCATGGCAATAGCTGCTAGGGAAGGGGGTGGTGGTCTGCCTGCCTCCAGTCCATCCTCCACTCAGCAGCTGTCAGAGATCTTCCTAAAGTGAGGGTCTGACCATGTCACCCCCCCCCATACACACACCTACTCAATAAACTCTAGGATCACATACAGAATACTGTTTGGCTTTTAAAGCCCTCCTAACCCACCCACTGCCATCAATCAATAATTAATTATTAAGCTCCTACTATACACTGTGGAAAGCTCGGGGGATAGAAAAAGAGGCAAAAGACAGTCCCTGCCCTCTGGGAGCATGCAATCACATACAGAAAAGACAACAAGCGAACAAAAATGTGCCAACAAGCAGGATGACCTCACTCAATCCACATTTGTCATCCCGCCAGGATTCTGGTAGCTATTGTCTATGCATCTCCAGGACACTCTCTTCCCTTCCTTCCTCAATGAACTCCCCACTCCAATCTGTTCTCTGCACTGTTGTCAGTAATAGATCTGACCTGGTCACGTCCCATCTCAGTAACTCCCCAGACTCCTTAATGTGGCGTGCCAAGCCCCCGCTGATCTTCTTCCACCTCACTCCCTACCAGCAGTTCTTCCATTCCCTGGCTCTAGTTTCTGCTGTTCCTTGCACATGATGCACCATCTTCTTCCTCATCACTGCCTTTTGGTTTAATTATCTTGTACAGAGCTTTTTTTGTACCCCCCATTAGACTGTGAGTTCCTCAAGGGCAGGCACTGTCTTTTGCCTCTTTTTTTATCCCTAGCACTTAGCACAGGGGCCAGCACATAGTAGGCACTTGTTGAGTCATTTCAGTTGTGTCCAACTCACCTTAACCCCATTTGGGGTTTTCTTGGCAGAGATGCTAGAGTGGTTTGCCATTTCCTTCTCCAGCTCATTTTACAGATGGGGGAATTGAGGCAAACAGAGTGAAGTGAGTTAGGTTCACACAGCAAGTCAGTGTCTAACTTGAACTCAGGTCCTTTTGACTTCAGGGCCAGTGCTCTATCCACTGCACCACCTAGTTGCTCTAGGTGTCTCACTTTCTCTGAGAAGCCTTAGTTCTTAATCGTTGAGCCATCCTGTTCATACCTTGTTTATATTTCAGTTGTTTGCATATTAACTCTCCCATTTCAATGTGAGCTTCTGGGAGCAGGGACTGTCTTTTACCTTGTTTGTTTGCTTGTTTGTTTGTTTTTTGACCCCAATGTTTAGAATAAATTATGGGTTGATTAGTACTCAAATCATTGAGATACCCTATTTAATGGGAATAAGTAATAAAATGATCTTGGACATGTAATAGCACCCAATGGCTTATAATAAAGCAAGAATGAACACCCCCAATGGATAAGCCATCCATTGAGGACACTAGCTTTGTAACAGCAGGTAGCTCCATGCCTGGTACATCTCCTTCCCTTACTAACCTCAACTACTGCAATACCTTCTATGGAAGAAGATTCAAAAGCTTTCTAATAAAAACAGAAATTATGAAGATATAATATTTCTCTGGTCTTATAATGCTTTCCAGACTTGCCTGCTTGTAGGTGGGTTAGGTAGAGGACCAAAGGCCTTTCTTAGAGAAGAGGATTAAGGGTTATTGTTGTTCAGTAATATTCAACTCTTCATGACCCCATTGGGGACTTTCTTGGCAAAGATAGTGGAGTGGTTTGCCATTTCCTTCTCCAGCTCATTTGACAGATGAGGAAGTGAGGCAAATGGGATGAAGTGACTTACCCAGGGTCATACAACGAGTAAATGTGTAAGGTCACCTTTGAACTCAGGAAGTTGAGTGTTCCTGCCTCAAGACCCAGCACTCTATTCACTGTACCACCTGGCTGTCTGGTAAGGGTTGTTACCAAACCTGAAAACCAAGAGAATCTCTTATCTTGTTTGAGTCATTACCTCCTCTATTCCCAAAGTGGTTTGGGTACTTGACCCACCAAAGGACACCTAAGGCAGCCTCTTCTTTGCCCAACTTTGAAAGGAATTATTGATGCAATGAGAGTCCCCACATTCTCCTTTAAGAAAGGATTAAGAAATTAGGAAAGAGGCTTCTTGGATTACTTGCTTCTGGGGAACCCTTGAGCCAATGGGATGGTCCTGGAAGGAACTCATAGTAACCATTGTTTTGAATGTGAAACTCCCAATGTGTATTTTAAGGTCTTATGATCTTTTCCTTATTGAGGATTATTATAAATATCACCTCAGATTGTCTTGAGTTAGAGAGACATGTGGGAGGGCACTGGGGGAATGATACCAGTTTGGCCATCTCCTCCTGTAGACTAGAAATGCTTAGATATTTGAACGTTAAATTAAATAAAACTGTTTCTGGCTGATGTGCCTAGAATATAGAGAACAGTATTAACATTTTGTCACTGACACATCCTGCTTGGTTTTCCTACCCCCTGTCTCTTCCGCATTCCAGTCCATCCTTCACACAGCTGTCAGAATGCTATTTCTAGAGCACACCTCTGCCCATGTCATTCCCCTGCTCCATAAACTCCAGTTGGTCCCTATTGCCTTTAGGATCAAATATAAACTCTTCTATTTGCATGTGAAGTCCTTCCCAGGCTGCATCTAGCCTGTCTTAATCATCACTGCCCTCCCCATACTCTTTGGTCCAACCAATGAGGTCTTCTGCCTCTTCCTCCCATGGATCACTGCATCTCCTTTTTCCCCCATGCTTGGAATGTACTCCCTTTACACTCACCTCCACATCTAAGGATCTCTTATTTCTCTAAAGATTTAGTTCAAACACCACCTCTTCCAGGAAGCCTTCCCAGATCCATCTTGCTGCTAGTGATTCCTCTCCCCTATTACTTTGTATATGTTTTGTATATTCTGCTATGTACGTGTATGTTGTCTTTTCCCCAGCATAATGGGCAGATAAGGACAGTTTGTTCCAATGGCCATGAAGGCAGCTGAAGTAGGCACTATGGAGCACTTGGAACTTGGTTATACATTGAAGATGCCAAAGTCATCTCCTGCATCCCAAGCCATGGCCAGTTCTGACTTTTGTCTTGCCACTGGACTTCAATGACTCACGAAAAGAGAGTGAGGTTGATGACTTTATGCAGCTCTGCCTCACTTCAATCCAATTCACACTCAAGTCAAGACATAACTTGTGATGTCATTGATCCTCTTTGAAAACAAAGGACAGACAATATTCTCTCTCCCATAGAATGTAAGCTCCCAGGGCCAGGACTTAGGTGTGTTTATCTTACGATTGCCTGCACCTCCATAGTGGCACTTAATGAATGCTTATCTGATTGAAGTGCCCCCATTCCACACTGTTGAGTATAGCCCAATGATGCTCTAACCCTTGGAGATCTTGTCGGACCCCAATCTCATCATCTGCATGTTTGATAAGGACCCAATTGATGGAGTGAAGGGCAGTTTGACAGAGTGGAAGCGGTGCTTGCCTTGGAGTAGGGAAGACCTGAATTCCAATCCCACACCAGGTGTTAGACCTTGGGCAAGCCATTTCGCTTCTCTCTGCCTCAGTTTTCTCATGTTGAAAATGAGGGAACTGGACTAGATGGCATTCCCGATCCCTCCCATTTTCCTGTACTTCTATGCTGCCTTGATCCAAGTCACCAATAAAGATTCCAGAGGCCTCTGACAGCCAGACCCAGAGTCCTGGGACACTTCACTGGACTCTTCCTTCCTGCCAAGCAGACATCAAACCATTCACGAAGGTTAATTAACTGCTATTTTGGCCAACTTCTATTAACTTCTCTTTGTTTTGAGCCATTCCACTCTTCCTGTATCCATCTGATTACTCTCTCATTTGGCCCTAACCTCCATCATTTCCATATGACTATCTACCTCATTCCCAGGTCCTTCCAGTTTAGTTGTCCTGTCAAAAAGGGAGCCCAGGTTCATCTGGCATTTCTTCTCAATAAAGCCATACCACCGTTTTGTAAGTGTTGCTTCCTTTTCTTAACTGTCACTAACCACCCCTTTAATAACACATTCCAGAATTTTATCAGAAATCCAAATCAGCCTCACTGGCCTGTAGTTTGTAGACTTCTATCTCCTGTTCTCCTTCCCTCCCTCTTCATGATCCCTTGGTGACCTCTGATAGTGGCTCAGCAGTCCCATCCTTTCAGTTTTCCGACATTGTAATTCATCCGGGCCAGGTGACTGGATATCATGCAGAACAAGGTTGCTACTTGGTTGCTGCTCCTAGGTCTCCAGCTGAGCCTGTGAAATGCACTTTCTTCTCCCACTGACTGGTCTGTGGCAGGAGTATGAACTCTAGTCCTGTGGACATTGGCCTGCAGTGGCATCGGTTCCATTCTATGGGGGAAGTTTTTGACAAGGCTGTGATCCACCTATGGGGGCTCCCCAGTCACTGTGCTGCCCCAGGAGCAGGGAGAGAATAAAGGGGTAATCTTGCCTTTACTGCTGGTCTAGTGGTGCAGATGGTTTATGTTGTATTTCAGGAGAATTATCTAAACTCCATTCTCAGGATTCTTTTTTTTTAAGGCAATGTGGTTAAGTGACTTGCCCAGGGTCACACAGCTAGTAAGTGTTATGTGTCTGAGGCTGGATTTGAACTCAGGTCCTCCTGAATCCAGGGCCAGTGCTCTATCCACTGGGCCATCTAGCTGCCCCACATTCTCAGGATTCTTAATGATAATCTTACTATATTAATTATATAATCTCATCAGAATCTAAGGCTATAATGACCTAAAGTACTTTTTGTGGCAATTCCTAGGTTTTTCCCAGAGGGCCAGTTCTGAGCTAGGTACAAAATCTTTGCTTTCCAGAGGCAAAAGAATTTGCTAGAATTAGTCTTAGGTACACTGGATTCCCTATGTCCCCATTTGTTTCCACGTCCTGTGAGGTGGAGTAATTTTTGAATTCCTGTCTTGGCAGGAGAACGTGTCACTTGCTGACATCCTATCCCTGCGTGACAGCTGCCTCACGGAGCAAGACATTTGGGCAGTGTGCTTGGAATGCAGCCGTTCCCTGAGGAGCATTGCCCATTCTGCCATCTTTCAGACACTGTGCATCACCCCAGACACACTGGCCTTTAACACCAATGGCAATGTGTGCTTCATGGAACAGCTCAGCGGTGAGTGCCAGAACCCCCCAGAACCTTGGGACCAGTGACCATGTGCCCACTGCCCTGGGTGCACAAATAAGGGCCAGGGCTTAGCTATTCTATGGGGGTAAGGGGATCTCTTCATCATTCCATAGAAGAGCCTCATTTCTTAATGAATAATTAAAATTGAAACCCAGTTAGTTTGAGAAGTAGGTCTGCTTAGTCACAATAATTATATCCCAACAAATGTTTCCAAGAGAGCAAACCCATTTTACTGCATTTGCTGGAGTTGTTGTATGTGGGGGAGTGAAGCTCTGAGCTTGCTTTGTGCTTGGCTGGGGGATCCTTGACCTGAACCTTTTTGAGACAGATGCTGCCACTCATTGGCCATAGGAGCGCACACTCTGCTAGTGCTGGAGGCTACATCCCAAACCAAAGCACAGTTGGATTTGGGTCCTTCTTCCCAGACACCTCATGGCTTCTCATGTCTGTTTGCATTGATTCTCACAACTTAATGAATGGAAGTCAAATTTTCCATTCAAAGTAAAAGCTTTGCTCCCAGCAGCCTCCATGTCCAATGTAAATCTCCTGCTGGGCTGACTGACATTGCGGTGACCCTGTTTCTCCTCGCCTCCAGCAGAACAAGCTTTGAGAATTGGAGGGCCAGAGGGCGGCAACGTTTTTAACTGCTTGCAGAGGCACAGATGGGGCAGGAATCCTAGTTGGGAACAAACTAAAGGCAGGGTGAACGCCAACCTCAGCTGAGGCTGGATGCCTTAGGAGGTGCAGAAGAAAGGGATCCCTAAGCAATTCTTCAGTGGGGATGAGTCAGTCCTCCAGGGGCCTGATCTCAACACGTGACATTGGGCCTCCGAGGCCTTCAGGAGACACACTGTCCATCCTGGTGGCACAAACCCCAAATGGGGCTCCTCTTGCTGCTGCTGCCGCCATTGCCACTGCTGTTCACTGCTCAAGTGTGGAAGGGGATTGGCAGTGGGGTTTGGGTTCCCTTGAAAGTAGCAGTACGAGCTTGTTTATTTCTCTGTCTCTCTTCCTTCCCCAAGATGATCCTGAAGGTGCCTTCGTTCCACCAGAGTTCGACATAACAGGGAATACCTTTGAAGTAAGTAAGAGCTGCTGCTTGCACCAGATGCTGCCATTCTCTTCCCAGATTTTCTGTGAAGCCCTTGGAAGAGCTTTGTTAGAGTGAAGCCCAGCCCTGACCTGTTTTGCCCTAGACTGCCCTCTGTCACGTCTCTCCAGCTCATCCTGTCCACAGCCAGCTTGCCCATGGCTGTTTGCCTGGTGGCTTCCCCTTGACTGGCTTCGTTCCTTCTCTGTATCCCCAGCACATAGCACAATGCCTGGCACGTAGTGTGTGCTTAATAAAAGCTCACTTCCTGTCTTCCTTGCTCTTTTCTCCCTGCTATTCCACTCCCAGAAGTCCATCGGCAGCCAGCTTCAGAAGTTGGCTGGCTCCTGTAAATGTTGCCTTCTGTCCTTAGAGTACTTGGGCTCCTGGAATCAAGGAATATCAAGGATTTCCTACAAAAACTTGTATTTGGGCAGGGAAAGGAAGGGAAGGGGGTATCTAAGCTTAACTAATCAACTGAAACATTTATAAACAAACTGAAAAACTTAACTAATAACCTAGTTTTAGGGTGAGAAAGCTACATAAGAGGCAGTGGGTGTGCCATGTTGATTGAAACCACTCACCTCCATTGAGTCCTGCCCAGTGTCCCGGGGCTGTCGAAGCACAAGATGGTCAGTGCTGGGAGGGATCCTAGCAGCTGTGTAGACTGTGGGAAATTGAGGCCAAGAGAGAAAATGGGTGACTGGAGAGTAGAAGCCTGTGTGGAACATGCCACCAAGTAACTGAGACCATGCTCTAGGTGCTGACCAGTGAGCAACCCCCTCCACTCCATAGGTATTCAGGAAAATGAAATGTGCCTTTCTAAAATGGAGGAGATCTTTAGTGGTGAAAATCAAGGAGGATACCAAGCTGGAGAGGCAGAGAAGGGTCCTGCCCTGTGTTGGGGGATGCCAGGGGCAGGAGGACTGGAGGTGGGGGAAATGTGGCCCCGAAGAGAAGCAGCTGAAGCCCCCGGAGCCTAGAAATGAGCATGGTGAGTGCTATGTCCTTCAGGAAGAGAGACTGAGAGCCCATAAGCGTTTTTAGGTGAGGAGAGATCAGCCATGTGGGGTCCGAGGACTCCTTGCTGAAGAGAACCAAGGCATGAGAGGGAGATGTGCCATCTTCCCAGGGCACAGATCCAGGAAGTGACAGAGAACCTTGGCAGACTTGTCAAATGGGCTGACTGCTTTCTCCTTGTGGTGTGGGCCCGAATGATAATGGCACGTGCATCACTAAAGGCTCCTCATCCTAGAAGAGGCAGGCTGCACCCGCACCTTGAAGAGAAAGGGACTCTGTCTCCTGCAAAGATGGGAGGTGACAAGTCCCACAAACAGAGAAGCATGAAGACCAGGTTTGTGGGACCATCCAGTGGCTGAAGAGGGCTGACTGACATCCATGAAGCTGGGAAGCCACCTTGCTTAGGGCTTCCAATATCAACTAGAGGAATGAATATTGTATGCTGGAGACAGTAGGGAGTTCAATAGGCTTCTTGAGCCAGGGAGTAACAGGGTCAGATATCAACAAGCCTTTTTTTAAGCACTTGCACTGTGCCAGGTTCTGGGGATACAGATAGAAGGGAAAGACTCTCCCAGTCATAAGGAGATTACATTCTAATGGTGGAAACGTAAAGGGAAGCAGGGACCCTACAAGGTAGAGGTGCGGGGAGAGAGAAAGAGCTCCAACCAAGGTGAGGGGATTGGTTAAAAAGTCCTGGAAGGCAGGGCCTGTCTTCTGCCTCTTTTATGTATCCCTGGAGCTTAGCACACATTAGGCACTTAATAAGTGTTCTTGATTGTGTATAGTACAGAAGGAACAGCATACAGACCAGTATGTTTGGACTGGGGATGCAAACACAGGGCCTGGGCAGAGCGCATGGAGGGACAAGTAATATGTGAGACTGCAGAGATGAGATGGGCGAGAGCCTTGAAAGTCAGCAGACTTTGCATTTTAGGCTGCAGGTGATAGGGAGCCACTGAAGTTTATTGAGCAGGGGTGACATGGTCAAGTTCACACTTCGGGAAAATCGTTTTGGCACCTGAGTGGAAACTGAATTGAAGAGGCCGAGGGATGCTTGGAAGGCTTTTGCAATAGTCCAGCCAAGATGTGACTGTGTGGGTGGGAAGGAGGGAATGCACACACACACACACACACACACACACACACACGGATATGAATGAGATGGTGGGAAGGCAGGAAGAAGACTTGTCAACAGATCAGAGTATGTGGGGTAAGTGAACTGAGCAGAAGGTGATCCCAAAGTCAGAAGCCTGGGGGGTTGGAAAGATGGGGGTACTCTCACTCACCATTTGGATGTCAAGCTGGCCCAGAGGCCCTGTTTTCAAAGGGTGTATAGACTCATCTCTGAGCTAGATGCTGACTTGATGGGAGCCTTAGAAAGAGATGCTCATGTTCAATCTTGGGACATCTAATTTCTGTACGTGCTTTTCTTTCTTTCTTTCCTTAGCACTTAGCATAGTTCCCGGCACATGGTAGATACTTTAAGATGCTTGTTGATTGACTGGTTGATCTCAAAGCAACCATTCATGCTTGCTTCTGATTATCAAAAGCCATCTCTTAAACAGTTGGAGTATCATCTCAGGGCCACTTGTGGGTTTTTTTTTCCATGACTGACTTGATTCTGAATTGCTACCAAGTTCAACCTTATTCCTTATAGATAAATGAGATTCAAGACCAAAAGAGATCATGAGTCTTACTGGGATCTCAAAGCAAGAAAAAAATGAGAGGAAGGTGTTATGGCTGTGGTGGAGGTGGGGATGTCACCAACAGGGTGACATTTCCCTCTGGACTAAGCAAAATAACTTGAACATTTTCATTTGGAGAATAAATTCCCTCATTTGGTGGCATTATTGTTGGCAGCTGTTGCTGAAATAAATCTGGTTATTTCTGCAGTGGATATATATATGTTATTCAAAAAAGATTTCTCCATGTGCACTTTTGGCACAAATATAGCATGGAGAGAGAGGTTCCATTTAAGCATTTTGAAACTTTATGATGTAGCATTTGTCATCATTTCATAGAAGTGATTATTTTTCTTTCCTTTCTTTTTTAAATTCAACTTTATGTTTATTTTCAAATTCTTTCCATCCTACCTCCTATTGAAAAAGCAAGAAAAATAAAAGCATCACAAATATATAACCAAGCAAAACAAATTCCTGTATTAGCCATGCTGAGAGAATGATAAAAAAAAATGGTTTCTCAGTCTGCATGCCGAGTCCATCAACTCCCCATCTGGAGGTGGGGGACATGTTTCATCATCAGTCCTTTGGCATTGTGGTTGGGCATTGAGCTGTTCAGAGTTCACAGCTCTTTCATAGCTGTTTGTCTTTACAATATTCTTGTTCTTGTATAAATTGTTCTTCTGCTTCTCATCACTTCAATTCACATCAGTTCATACAAGCTTTCCCAGGTTTCAACAAAACTACCCCCTTTCTTATTTCTCACAGCACGTTAATATTACATCACCTTCATATACCACAACTCGTTCAGTGATTCCCCAATTGATGGGCATCCCCTCAATTTCCAATTCTCTGCCACCACAAAAAAGAGGTGCTATTAATATTTTTGTACATATGACACCTGTTCCTCTTTCTTTGACCTTTTTGGGATACAGAACTAATTGTGGTATCACTGAGTTAGAAGGTAAGCATAATTTAATAATAGGGAGGGGTGTTCCAAATTTCCTTCCAGAATAGTTGGACAAGTTCACAGCTCCAGCAGTACATTAAAGTATTTGTTTTCCCACAACCTCTCCAGCATTTATCATTTCCCTTTTTGTCAGTTTAGCTAATATGATGGGCATGAAGTGAGTGATACCTAAGAGTTTTAATCTGCATTTTTCTAATTATTAGTGATTCAGAGCATTTTTAAATATGGCTCATTATAACCTGGATTTCTTCCTCTGAAAATTGCCTATTCATATCTTTTAACCATTTATCAGTTGGGCCATAGCTCTTATTCTTATACATAGTACTCAGTTAATGACATATTAGAAATAAAATGTTTATCAGAGAAATTTGCTACAAATATTTTCCCCAGTTTCCTGCTTCTCTTCCAATTTTAGCTGCATTGATCTTCTTTTTCAAAGCTTTCAATTTTATTTAATCAAAGGTGTCCTTTGTGAACATCTCTCTTGTTTGGTCATGAAGTCTTTTCTTATCTATAGATATGACAGGTGCTTTCTCCCATGTTCTTTATACCTTGCTTGTGATGTTACCATTATGTCCAAATCATGGACCCATGAGGAGCGTAACTGGCTAACAATGTAGGATACAGGTTTACAGCTAGTTTCTGGCAGCCTGCTTGGCAGTTTTGTTGAATAATGAGTTCTGGGATCTTTGGGTTTATTGAACACTGGGCCACTGTGCTCTCCAGCATCTGTGTATCATGTGCTTAATCTATTCCACTGATCAACCTCTCCATCTCTAACCCAGTTCAGATTGTTTTGATGATTATGGCTCTTCAGTATAGTTGGAGATCTGGTACTGCCAGGCCCACTTCCTTCCCACTTTTTTTTCCCCATTAACTCCTTTAATATTCTTGACCATATATTCCTCCAGATGAATTTTATTATGCTTAGTGCTTCATTACCTAGTTCTCTCCTAACACTCATCTTCTTTATGCATCACCCTTAACATGGCAAGTGGTCAGGCCATATGGAGAATCCTTCTGATGGTGGGGATCAGGCCATTTGTTGACATTAGTAGTTGAGGGCCAGATTGGTGGGGGGAGGTAGCCACTTTTTCTGTAGCCCCTGAAATCATCCTATTTGGGAGGAATGCCAGGGCAGAGCCATAGACGCTCAGCTCTTGTCTGCTATTGAGGTCATTTTCACTATCCAGTGAACCAGAATTTGGAAGTCATTCATCAGATGGCTCTATTTTATAGCTCTCCTGTTTTTTGGAATGCTGCTGGTGATTATTGTGGGGAAAGTGCTTGTTCTCTTTTCACTGGTTCCTGTGTTCCTCTGA